CCTGGCGTCACAGATCTCACTCACAAATTTCGGACAGCTGGGGGATTCTCCAACTTTAATCACACATCAGTGCATGCCCCTCGGAGCAGTCTCTAATGTTTATATCTGGCCCCGGCCCTTTGCCAACTCTGTATCGATCACTACCAAGCTTTAGCCCTGTACCACGATCTGTTGCTATCTGTGTCCCTCCGCCCGCTGCCCCTCTCGCTCTCTCTTCGCCTGGCGGCAGAGACGCAGTTGGAGGAGGCTCAGGCAGAAGAGTGATGATTTCCTCATGAAACTGCCATTGATTTTGTGACACGCTGATGCCATCTCTTTCTCTGTCAGCAGAGAGAGTAAGAGAATTATCTGGTCTTTACAGAGCTGCATTGGTGTTTATGTAAAACTGTGAATAAATGGGGTGAAGCGCAGGTGATTGGTTCACAGCCAGGAAGGTCCAATGTGCTCAGTTCTTTTTATTCAGTCTGGAGGAACAGAGTAAAGTATATAACTGTTAAAATGAGAAGTCACAACAGGAAAAACACAGGTAACTGTGATGAGTGCTGCATCAGTTTCACTTTAACAAGTCTAAATGTTTCTGCATTTTCAACTCCTTTGTATTTATACTATTTTATAACTATGCTCTTCATCCCACTACAGCTACAGTGGCAGATTTAACATACAACAAAACAATTACCAATATCAATTACCATACATTATTATAAATGAAATACTAACTGGATATGAAGCAGCTAACATTAGTCCCACTTTGACCAAATCCATCAGTAAAAAGCTTCTTTTTCTGAAGTAGTAAAACTGCAATAACTTATTTTCTCCACCTCAGAGCAGCAAAAGCAAATGTGTTCACTCATCAGTCATGGGGCACCACTGTTGTCTGTTTGGAGTAGTGTTTCTATCCAACAGGTACATGTGAAACCAATGTTCTCTGTCTTATAGCTCTGTTTTTGGTCTCCATCAGCCCATGAGGGATATCTGGCTCTTCTAGCTGCTACATGTTTGAATATATTCAGCAGTTGCTTACTGTATTCATCTGCTGCTTGGTGACGAGCAGCCGTCCCAGACCTTGGATGGAGAGGCAACATCATTCAGCACTGACAGAAACAGAGCTGTTAATGCAGTGAAGATGTTCATCCTGTTTTTTACACTACTACTATTGTTACAGCACTGATCATGTCAAAGACAGTTCTACCTTTTCCTTTCAGCTCACTGCTCAAATAGTTCAGTTTTCCAGTGATGGCCGTTAAATTTGAGGTGAAGCACATCAGCGTTCTGAAGCAATGAGGCGTCCTTCCCTCTAAATTCCATCAACTCTTTGATTTCACCCATTCAGTCAGAAGAATTGATTGAAGACCGCAATGTGCATGAAGAGGATAGCATGAAATACAGACAACTACTACTTTTTGTTAACAAGACTAACATTACTTTTACTTAGAAAAAGAACAAGCTTGATAGCACTACTGCTAGCCCCATCAATCACATGTCTGATGTTACCTGTAAATGTCCCTCAAGAGTCTCTATGTCTCAGCATGACACACATACTAATTTCAGTGGTTTTATCACTAAACAAGAAGTCACCACAGCATCTCACCAGAGCTGTTTTCAGACATGAACTCTAGAAATTGGGGAAGAATTTCGAAAATTGGTCGGGGACATTTCACAGGAGGTTGCCTTTCACATATGAACAACGTAGCAGGAGATAGTTTGGGTCGGATTGGCAACAACGGGAAAAGAGGTGGCACCTGGGTAGAGGATGCAGGACACGACAGTTATATTCCGTTGCAGACAAAAGCTCTTGAATCTTGTCGTCTTTCCAAGTAGACATATTCGCCACCATCTTGTACATGTATGGCTATTTGTATTTGTATTCTTTTTATTACTTTACATTTTCCTGTTGTTTTCTCACATTTTACTACGGGGCTATCAGGAAAAGATCTGGAAAATGTCCTCTCAGACATTTACATCCCCTCTGAAGCCCTCCCTGACAAATCTCAGGAAGGTTCAGTGACATGAAAGCAGGTCAGTTTACTGTTAGTGGTCCTACAGACACTGGCAGGTCTTCAAATGTTACAACTGAGACAAGAGAGTCCTAGTTAAACATGGAAAAAAAAAAACAATCTCTCTTTCTCACCATTCCTCTGCTGTGACCACGTCTTCAGACTCACTGTAGCTCACAACTGCATTTCATCAGCACAGTCCTTAACTTAATGTTTTAACTTAACAGGATAGATGGGAAATAGTTCACCACTAACTGCAGTGTGATTGCCTCATCATAATTTGGCTCACTGGTGTCACGCTGGGTGACCAGACAGACAAAGTACTTGGTGTGTGTGTGTGTGTGTGTGTGTGTGTGTGTGTGTGTGTTTGCATGTGAATTTGTGGCTTTGAGAATAAATGTGTATTTAACTGTGTTTGTTTGCATATGAGTTTGGCATGATATTTTGGAGAGTATCGGTTCCAGCAAAGGTTTGTAAGTGTGTGTGTGTGTGTGTGTGTGTGTGTATTTTGGCTGAGTCATGGTCGTACTGGCAGGGTCGAGGCAGGCTGGGCTGAGACGGGTTGAGTTTGGAGGAGGAGCGGACGTGGGAACCGTCTCTCCTGTTCTCCCATCTGTTCTGCTTGATGGAGGTGCAAGAGGTGATAGAGGTGCATTTAAAACGTATAATAACACACACAGTTCCTTATACATTCATATCCACACACACACACACACACACACACACA